TGTTGAAACCGAGCTTGAAGCCGCGGAGCTTCATACCACAACAACAATTCGATCAGTGAGCGTCTGAACAACGTTTCATCGGCCGGCAGCCCGGTCGTCCTGTGGAAACGCAACTTCGTCGCAGTATTTTTGCGTTCTTGCGTTGTTTCTGCAGTACGGTAGTGGCGAATATCATCCCATGGTACGTAAAAGTACGAAGACGTTTCACTCTACATTAAAATACGAAATGGAAGTCCATTCCACCCCATGACGTCATGGGTACCTTCCTCCTCATGCCCACCGCATTCGAAGTGGCACGTCGATCCGAACCCCCATTACGTCATGGGTACACGTCGGTACAAGTCCAGAAAAGTCGAAATTTTTTCTAAGTCCAGAAAAGTCGAAATTTTTTCTAAGTCCAGAAAAGTCGAAATTTTTTCTAAGTCCAGAAATCTCGAAAATTTTTCTAAGTCCAGAAAAGTCGAAATTTTTTCTAAGTCCAGAAAAGTCGAAATTTTTTTTCTAAGTCCAGTAAAGTACATAATAGTCGAAAAGTACAACGAAAAAAAAACTAACAATTATACATTTTCATATTTGTTTTCTTGTTATTTATTTGTCAAAATCTCTAAAAATCTACATACTTTTTGTATAAATCGTGACAGTTAACTTTCTTTATTTAAACAATGCTCATCGCTTCCTCGTAAGAGGGAGGATGAGACGGGGGAGAAGCGGTGGGCCGTTCCTCGTGGCCACGATTGAGTACTTTGCACGCACTCGTAGCCGTGCATAACGACCACCCGTTCATGAAACTGAAAAATATCAGGAACATGTAAAAAAATCCTATCGAAACTGACGATATCTGCGAAGCCATCGTCTTCTCCTGCGCGAATGTTGTCATCAAGTAGGCAAACCAAACCAACCCGTTGAAGAGGTACGTGGAGATCGCGTATCCGTAAACCGTTCGGACTAAAGTCCGACGAGAAGGATACTCGAAGTGAGTAAAGCACGATTTCATCTGTCCTAGTATCTGCTCTAGAACTCCGCTCCCCTGCGACGTCATGACGATCAATCCTATTAACGGTTCTTCTCCTTTCGACAGTGCTTGGATGAATGCGGATGTTACCATAGCGTCGAAGATCGAGTCGATCGGCCGCTTCTCCGACACGTCCAAGACCAAGTAGAAGACGAACACGCCGAGGGTCACGCTGAACGGCATCCGGATGTCGATGGTGCTCGCCTTCGTTCTGTCGGTCAATATGCCCGACGTGAACGTGACCGCGACGGCGATCGTCGGTAGGACCGTGCTAACCAGTATGCGAAGATATCTGAGGGAGAAATAACACACGATAAGTGTCTATTTTTTTGTCTTATCAAATATTTTTTAATCCATTGAAATGAAACTTACGTTTTTTGTAGCTGTCGTGCGTGAGTTATTCGGAAAAGAGTCCATTCGGGAGGCTCGTTCTTCCACGCTCCGTGTAATTTGTTCACGATTATGGGTAATGCGTGGTGGAGGAAAACCATAACGTTCAGCGTCACCGAAACTGGTAGGAGGACTTCGACCGCGTTCATCTCTCGTTGCTCTGCCAGCACGCTTTCGGTAACTCCGTACTTGTCGGGGGAAGGAAATGTATTGATGACGTGTGCGTGTTCGTGAATGACGTTTTCCTTGCACTTCCTGCTTCCTGCAATTTGATGCTGTACGTGCAAGCCAATCACCGTTTTCCAATTCCGATGACGTAAGCGCTGAAAATAGATGACGACTTTGTGTTTTTGTTTTCAAACGTGATAAAAGTCGCATAACAGTTTGATATTCTCGCATTTGCTTTTGCAGAACCATTAACAGTTAAAATCGTTACATATTCACATTCATTATGAAGTTGTCGATCAAGGATTTGGTTCCTGGTATCGATTACG